ACATTTATTTATACTTAAATCTATTCGCCTATCCTCAATGGCTGCAAATTCGTCTATAACATCGTCATAAAATTTTGGATTTTCTAATAACTGTTTAACAAGCTGTTTTTCAATGGATATTAGGGCTAAATTAGAGAGTCTGTCTTCACTTGTTGTATTTCGTATAAAACTTTTAATGCGCTTTAAAGCTGAAAAACCGACGAACTTGTGGCTGGGATGGTTAGTACTAAATTCACACAACTTGACGACTTCACAAAGGGACTTATTTAAACCAGTTGTTATAAGAAAATTGAGCACATTGATGGGCGTCTTTTTATCACTAATTTCAGTTGTTTCATGAACAACACTTAACTGGGACTTTATTGCTAGAATATCGAAAAAATTTCCATAATTTAATTTTAGTTTAGTTTAATTCGTTAAAGTTTTGAAATCGAAAGTTCATTTGTTGTAAAATATTATCAAAAATTTCGGCGTATAATGGACGATAAGAGGTCTCTCTGTCGCCGACATTATCAATTCTAATTCTCTTTCTTTCAGGTGTTAAGCCAATATTTTGAGTCTTATGTCTTATTCCAAAAGTGTTCAAAGTGATCTCGTTTTTTATTCATTTTATTTTTAAAATCATCAATTTGTTTAATGCAAAAGCCAATCTCATTTGACTTTGTCTGTAAAATGTCGAATAAAATGTCAGTAAAAGGGAAAAACTGTGCAAAAATGTTGAGCAAAAAATTGAAATCAAAGTTTTGTTTGAGCCATTGCAAATACCCTTTAGCGGCAGTAACAGTTTCAGCATCCCATATTTCTTTATTATCCCAAACGTCTTGAAAAAAGTGTATCAAAGAATCACGGTATTGAAACACTGTACTAAACGTCCATTGTAGTTCCATCGCGTCGGAGCAACTTTTGGCAACAAGCTTAGAACCACATTCTAAACTTGAAATAATGTCACATTTTAAACAATGCATCTGCACTTCGTTCGCTAGTGACGTCTTAAAATTGCTCTTGAAGAATGCCATCCAATACATATCGCACAACAATGGATAATTTACTTAAGTTTGCTACATTTGTGGTTTCATCAAGCGCAATTGATACGAAAGGTGCTTTTTTAATTTCACTTTTAATGTGATCCATCACAACGTCGACAGTGCATTTAATTAATTAATTTTGGATTTTGTTTGAGGTACCTCGGAAATTCGTCGAATCAATAATATGATTTTTTAGGGTATCATCGTATTTTACAAAAAAACTTAGATGGTCCATGTAATTTCCTCGATTGTCGGATCCACTTGCTTCATTGTGACCCCTAAAACTTAGTTCATGCTCTCTCAGGAAACAAGTTACATCTATTATTCGTTGTAAGACCTCCCTATTTTTTTATCCTTTCATTGTAAATTTTGTTGCTTATTTTTAATTGATTGTCCAAACTATGTTCAATGCGATAGGTCCCAAATGTTTTTTCTTTAATTGTAGCACTTATATGAGATTTGCTATTTACATGTCGTTTTACACTTTTATGAAAATTATTTAAGTCTGAGTTCTAATGTGTTTCTTCGGCTATATTAAAAAGTAGGCAAGGCAAGCAAAACACTTTCTTCAAAGTTTTGCAGCCGGTTAACCATTCATACTTTTCATAGAACCCTACGTGAAAATGCCTGGTAAATTTCTTTCCTGACTTTTCTACTTTCGTTTCTAAATTGATAGGATCCTTTAGTCTACTAGAATTAATAATGTCCGTTTTCTCTTTAAAATTTCTACTTGAAAATCCTTTTTTCAATAAAGAGTACACAATTTTACAAAAAGAAAAATAACTACGAAAAACAAACCGAAATCTATCTGAAGTCTACGATTTTCCTCACACATCGATTCGCGGTGCGAATTGCAATAGGCATCGTAAAAATCACTGCCTCTCGACCGTATTTTACGTGTGCAAACAGATTGACTACTGTCGCGGCAAGCGAAATCAATTGGAACATGAGCAGGCTTTTCAAGGGACGCTTCCGCCGACGGACTCAAAGTATATGGTGTGCGTTTACACAATTAATTTTCTCATGAGTGGTGCGTGCGTTTACACATTACACCAATGAATTGTTAGTAAAAGCCATTTGTTTTTCGATATGAGTTCCAATCATAGAGTTCGTAAAAAGAGATATATAAAGAAAATAAAAAAAAAAAAAAACTTTAAATTGTCATGTCCATTTGAATGAATTAAAGGCTGCTAATTCTAGTGCCATAGAATCTATTTGTAATTTTAATATAGCCGAAGCTTCACATTGCAAACAACCTAAAAAGGTGGTTATTAAAAATTTTTACAAACTTTTTATCAAAAGAAATTAGTTAAGTATTGCATAAAATAAAATATAAAATATGCAAAATTTTTATCCTTGAGTATATTTGATTCAAAAGTAAGTAAATTCTGAACAACACTTTTCGGTATTGTTAAAAATAAAGTCACTTTACTCATGCATCAAATTCATAATTTTCGACAAACCTCGTACACGACCCTTTTTCATAAAACTAATGAAAGGTTTTCATATGGTACCGGATTGTATTTAATAGGTAGTTTATAGTAATTGTACATATGTACAATATTTTTTAAATTTGAATTTTTTATATATTATTTCTTAAATATTATTTTTTAAATCTTATTTTTTGATATATCAATATTTGTTTCAGTTTTTAATAAATATATTACAAATTCAAATAATATGTTTTTGAACCTTTTGAACCAATCCCGTTACTTTAAAAGCCATATTGGAACCTGGTTTGATAACCATTTTTTTTTCTCCTGGGCTTGTCTGACTATGTGTCTCCGAATAACACTGAAGCCTATTGGCTTATTGTGTTTTACCCCATGTTAGTTCATAGCACCCACTCTGTCACCTTTGTACCTTGTACAAGTTTGTACAGAGCCTTGGGTGAGTGGGTTCTATACGTTGTTGGATCAACCTGGGGCTGTCCAAAAAGAGCCTGTCTTTTGCAATCTAGAGCTTCGCATTCGCACAGTATGTGTTTGGCCATTTCTGGTTTCTTGTGACATAGTTGGCACGTGAGTTCCCCATTGTGCATGCCAATTTTGTTCAAGTGTCACTTTACTGGGGCGTGCCCAGTCATGAACCCTGTTATCACTTTCAACTGGTTCGTATTCATTAAGAGTAGTTCTCCAGTTCTTTTGGGACATGGTCTGCCCATGAAGGCTTTTCCAGTTGATATGCTGTTCCCGAATCCAGTCATTTATGAAACCCCGGACTGTACTTTTTGGTACTCCTGGGTTTGTGTCTGGTTCCGGTGTTTCTTCTAACCCTCTTTTTGCAAGTACATCAGCCTTTTCGTTGCCTTCGATCCCTTGGTGACCTGGCACCCAAAATAGTTTTACTCTATTTCGGTCTGCCAGTGTTCTTAGTTCTTTGATGCATTTCCATGCCAGCCTCGACGTAACTTTCTGACTCGATATGGCCTTAAGTGCCGCTTGGCTGTCTGACATTATTTGAATATATTGATTTTCGACAGCTCTTTTATTGTTCGTTTTTGCACATTGCAAAATTGCGTATACCTCGGCCTGAAATACCGAGGAATGTATTCCTATAGCATAGCTATGGTTAGTATCAGGGTTTTTGGAGAAAACTCCTGCCCCAGTGCCTTCCGCAGTCTTAGACCCGTCTGTATACCAGGTTTGTTCCTGTCGTTGGGCATTGGGCTCCCTTATGGTGATCTCCGCTCTTTCCTGTATTAAAACCTCAAATGGAGTATTAAAAGAGTACCTCTTGGTTATTTGGTCTGATCTCATGTCTAGCACGTCTCCTGTCACTATCCTTGAGATACTCATGTGACCTGGCCTAATGTCAAGATTTCCCAGTGTATTCCCTAATCTGTAAGCACCTAATCTTGCCTCCCCTTGTATCACATAGTGAAGAGGTGGTAGTCCTATTAGTGCTTCCATTGCAGCAGTGGGGGTTGTTTTCATTGCCCCCGTTATTCCGAGACAGGCAAGTCTTTTTACCTTGCTTAGCTTCGTTATTGTTTTCCTTTGCTGTATCTTTGGCCACCACACTAAAGCTGCGTATGTTATTATCGGTCTCACCACCATGTTGTTAAGCCAATATACCATGTCTGGTATATTAAAACTTGATTTAAAAACCATTTTGGCACCTGGTTGTAAAATCATGTTAAAACCTGATTTAAAAATCATATTAAAAACTGATTTAAAAACTATATTAGTACCTAATTTAAAAACCATATTAGTATCTGGTTGAAAAACCATATTTAAACCTGATTTAAAAACAATATTGGTATCTGGTTAGAAAACTATATCAAAACCTGATTTAAAAACCATATTGGAAAACGATATTGGAACCTGATTGGAAAACCATATTGTAACCTGATTGTAAAACCATATTAAAACTTGATTAGAAAAAACCATATGGGAACCATAAATAAAAGCGTTACATTCCAATCTAAGAACCACATTTGCAAACCTTGTGGTTCTCATATAAGTATGCTGCTAGGAAAGTGGTATTTATTTAGGTAATTGTTTTATATTTCAAGGGTAATTACCATAAGGTAACTTGGTGTGGGTGGGTATTATTATTGTTTTTGGGTGTTTAGTGATCTATTAATTTCTACCCCGCTGGTAGCTGGCCGCCTGAAAGATATTTTACTCCACAGAGTCTACTTTTGCTGCGTTTGAAAAATACCTCGTTTTGCTTTTTTACTCCATATCCCCCCTTTTGCTTCGTTTGCTCCATTGATATGGTTTGCTCGATGTCTTGTGTCCAAAAAATCTACTCGCTCTGCTTGATGATGTACATTTCAAACATAGCATTTGAGTACATTTAAGTGCACTTTAAGGTCGCAGAGCAAACTGCGTTAGCAAAACTGGCGCCTGAGCAACCCTTATTTTAATTTCATCGTCTCAGCGCCAAACACGACTTTCTTTTTTACAGCAGGTAAAGCCTGAAGCCTGTCACACCCGGAATATATAATAAAAAATCTTTAAAATTTACCTATGAAAAGCCAAACCGAAAATCGAATCCAGGTATGTAGATCCAATTGAAACATAAGATATAAATTGAAGACAACACTTAGACATGGGATATATGGAACCAAAGGTACCTGAAAAAAAAAATGCTTTATTAAACTATTACATTTTGTCTTAAATCTTCGAACTCTGCTTTTATTTAGAGCGTTATGGAAAATATTAAATAACTGTAGATTTAGGAATAATTTTTTTTTAATATTTTACTTAAAATCAGGAGGTGAAATTACATACTGAGCTTATGTGGGGGAGAGGAGTAATACCTATTCTTATTATTTGTATTTATTGTGTTCCAGGTTGACTTACAGAGGACTGATAGTACCATTTGACATTAACGGAAGAAAAATCTTAGCCTCCATAAGCCAAAAGGATTGAAATTTAAAATGTATCTATCCGTAAATAATGGAACACAGAGCAACTATGAATTCTTTGCCTTAATATATTGCGATATAACACAATTTATCTTCGTCTAATTCTTAATATTAAAAAAGATACAGGGTGCTAAAATATCTTTTTGATATAGAATTTTTCTTGTAATTCTAACAGTTTTCGATACAATAAAATCCATATTATTAAAAGCTATTACTACTTTAACAAATGTTCGAAGTGGCCACCATTGACTTTAATACATTTTCGTATTGGTTCATCAAATTATTTTCTAATATTAAAACGTATGATATCATTTCTGAATAGGGTGGACCATTATGCTGCACCCCTGACTCCCTTACAGTAAAACTACAGTGGCATTATATTTTTTTATTTTTGGACCTAGTCTCCCTCTACACGAATGCACTTGGTCCATCGGTGCTCTAGCCCCTGGAAAACATTTTATCCGACCAATGCAAACCACAGCTCTACAGTTCATCATTACTGGAAAAAATTTCCCACGTAAGTTTCCTTTTAATTTGATGGACAGCCTGTAATTACTGGGAGCGAGATCTGGCGAATATGGTAGGTGATCCACTAATTTAAAGCCTGTTTAATGTATAGCAGCCATGAAAATACAAGATACGTATATGGCTGGAAGCATTATCCTGATAGAACAGAATACCGTTTCTTAACTTTCCTCGGCGTTTCTCTTTAAGAGCGTCTCGCAATTTAGAAATCAATTGTGCGTAATAGGCCCCTGTAATGCTCTTACTCTTATGCAAATAGTCAGTAAGGATGATTTCTTAAGCACCCCAGAACACAGACAGCAAAACCTTTCCAGCAGACGGCACGATTTTGAATTTACGTGAAGGAGGAAAACCGCGATCTTTCCACTATTTACTTTGTGCTTTGATACATTGGGGTCACAGTGAACCCATGATTCGTCCATGGTAATATACCAACTAAAAAAAATCTCTATTTGCTTGGTGCCTTTTCAAAAGTCGCTTACTAGTCAACACCCGATTTTTTTTTATTTGATCAATGATGCGTACTCGTCGGTCTTGCAGTACAGTTTGGAGTACCTACCCTTTTAATGTTTTTATATGCTGTTACCGTTATGGGAGGACCACCAACATGCTGCTTTTCACATGATGTTCTACCTCATTTAAAATCTCGACACCAGCGTTTGACTAAAATAAACTCCCCAATAGTTGCTATTATCTTTATAAATTAGAGTTGGCGTCATGCCTTTTTTCTGGAGGTATTTTATTACGGCTCTTGGTCACATTGAGATTATAGGGAGACGCGATCACGTGGTAAAAAGCGGCATCAGTCTGCCATATTGATAATATCGTGAAAGACAATAATGGTTTCTTGTGCTCTTCGCAACTGCAATAGCAGGAATGCCATGGATAAGATGAAATCTACCAGAATATCATTTTATAGGTTAGTATACAAAATGCTAACAATAAACAGGGTAGTATTTGAAAAATGTATTTTTATATTTTACTTATTTAAATAGTTCCTTGGTTAAAATATTTTACGGCAATTGTTTCATATACATACGGTTTTCTGTTATTTTATTATTGTTTAGAAAGGTTAATTTTTCCAATATAATATAAAAATGGCAGGAAACCGTATATGAAATTTTAAACTAACAAGTAAAGCCCAAATAACAAATGTTTTCCTTTCAGATTTCCTAAAGATCCTGCACGTCAGAATGTTTTGTTGCTGTTTGTAAATAGAGGTTCTTGGAAACTTACAAAATACAGTGTTCTGTAAAGTATTTTATTTAGCATTACATCGACAGAACATCAACATATTATGTTCGTTTAAGAGATAATGCTGTCCATACCCAGTTAGCGCATAACGTTGCCAAAGAGTTCAAGAATAATTAAGCACAGCGTAACAACGCTTTGAGATACAAAGTTCATATTTTGTAGATATGATCTACAAAAGACAGTTAACTAATGTCAAAATTATTAATCAAGCCACCACTTAGAAATAGATCAGGGATGGAGTATAGGAATCCACCCTCGTACAGTTTCAGCATTTACTAAAGTTCGTTATAAACCATTGATTTAAGAAACTCCCAAAAGAAAAAATTCATAGAGTTTGGTCTGGAGTAGCATATTGGCTATACCTCGGCTGATTCAGTGTTGTGGAAATTCATTATCGAGGTAATTTTGTACTGCTCTGCTGTAATGGAGTGAAGCACCATCCTACATAAACCGTCATGTTGTGTCGACGTTTAATGGCAAATCATCTAACATGTCCATGAATCCAGGTGAGAGAAAATTAAGATAGGAGTCACGGTTTAAATTATTTGGTAACTCACCCCATATCTTTATTAATATCAATGATTGAACTTAGGTACAGTTCATCAAATTTCTAGAGGCTTTCGACGGCTAGACAGAGAAAGCACTACTGACAGGCATCCCGACGGATTTACGCAATGAAAGTACACTCTGCGCATCAAGTATTTCACTATTTCATTCAGACGTAAATGTCAGATGTAAATTTCGCTAAAACATTTCTTTTATTTTCGTTTGTGTTTTTTGCTCATTACAGTTTAATAGAACCTAAATATGGAGTTTAATAGCAAATTAAGAGGCCGCGTGATTAACAGTCAATCTCGCGAAATAATAGCCAATGTTATAGAGTTTATGAGAAGAGAAGGAAACTTTAATTCACCTTCAATACCATTTAAAAATGTAAATGATCGTGTTGCTGCAGCCACAGGAGTATCTAAAAACACTGTCGTCTGCATTTCTGGAGAGAAAAAAAGAATCGATAACCGTGAGATATCGGAATTTTCATCACCAAGAAAAACCATTAAAAAACCAAAAACAGTTAATGATATAGATGAAGCTGCACAAGAATCAAATTTTATTTTTTTATTATTAGATAGCTATTTTTGTTTCTGAGTTGTGTTCATTTACAGGCTCAATTTTTTTCCGTTTCTCCTTTTTGATTTTATATGGGGTTTCAAGTTGTTTTTGACTTATTTCGACGTAAATCACAACAACACACTTTTTTAATAAAGCAAACAAGTGTTAAGAGGTATATGTACGTGTAAACTACAATTACAAAAAATTGATATGAAACCCATGAAACCACCAACAAAAATGTAAAGCTAGCTTCCGTACTAGAACATGGTGTCATTCGTCGAGATAATTTATCGTTTTGTTTAATAGATCAAGAAATGTAAATATTCCCCTGTTATTTTTTATAAAATTATAAGAGAAATAAATTTTTTTTTAAATAGTATAGTTTATTATTTTGTAGAAAAACAAAATTTCGAAAATTTTAGTAATGTTTCAGAAACAACCGTTATTAATAATAGGTACCATTTTCCTTAATAAGGTAGAAATAAAATATAAACTATTTCCACGATTTACAAAGGCCTACAAAAAAATTATAGGTATTTTCCGCTATCCTATAAAATTTATATTTTCTTACTCAATTTCAAAAGGGTGAAGGAATTCCAAAACACCTTTTATGGCATAATAATTATTTTCAATTCTACATACTATCTTTAGCTGCTTTTAAAAACGTTCTAAGAAAGTCCAATCAGACCAATTTAATCCCTAAACTATTCCACACTTTTAAAATTTAATTACCTAAAAATATTAAAAACTATTTAAAATAACTTGTTTAGCAGACTGTACAATAGCTATCTTAGTCACACGTAGCGCGTTCTCTGTCTGGGCGTCGAACACCTCTAGAAATTTGATGAACTGTAAATTGTATATCGCAAGATTTTTATACAATGAATTCGTAGTTGATCCGAGTCCCATTATTAACGGACCACCCTGTACAGACAATAATTTACACCTGTCGTCACATACTCCGTATTTAACAAAGAAAATCAGTCATTGACTTTTCTGTTAAATATGCATTATGTGGCGCCACCTGGGACTTTTTTTATTGATATAACTTATATCTCAATAGAAAAGTAAAAATTTCTCATTCTATATGACAAATTATTCTAAATTTTTCAATTTTTGTATAGAATTTTTCTTGCTACAAGTTATTCATATTAATAATTGTTTTATCTAATTCAATTTTCTATACAAATTATACAAACCTTAAAGGATAACTCGACTTCTGCTTTTGGTTGTCGAATAATGATAACCATCAAAACTGCCATGCCAATTATAGTTACAATGAAAGCAAATATGTAAAGTGGTTCTGTAAATACTAATTTGCGGCCGTTGGCAACTGTAGCACAAAACAGGCCAGTGAATAAACCTAAAACAAACAATTATAAAAAGGTTGTAAGAATATAAAAAATTGTTTAAAAAAGTAGACAATGTAAATAATTCCAAGTCACTTTGATATAGTCCGTCAAAAAATACTCCACAAAAAATATTTCTAAAGTAGGCCTTTTCAGATTGGATTGAATTATGGAGTGTAGAGGAAATGAGGACAATCTTATAAGGTTGTTTATCTCAAAAAGTGTCCCCCAAAATGTATAAAATTAAAATGGCGCTCGTGTACTATATAGAAGGGAAAGATCCAATTATATATATATATATATATATATATATATATATATATATATATATATATATATATATATATAGTTATATAGATAGCTCACCCATATGTAAATCAGACGACGAAAAGCACTATCGTTGTCTATTATTAAAATTTCGGATCTACGTCAATTCATCGCGCGAAAATTCAGAGCCGACATTTCATCGTAAGACGATTCACCGCTACGACAATTCACCGCCACGACAATTTGTCGCCAGCCATTTTTTAGAATTCATTTTATGGTTTATTTTATTTTTTTTATTATAATCAAAATTTTATTTTATATATTTTTTAGTATAGGTAAAAAAACAAGTAGGTATATTGAAAAAAAATATATTATAAAAAATTGTAGTTGCTAGTTATAACATTTTAAATTGAATTAATATAATAATATTAAATAATTTAGACTTGCATTCGAAAATTATGCGCAATTCCTCGAAGATATTCCATGGTATTACGAGCGTCGTAGGATTCTGTAAGTAGTTTTAAACGACGTGCAGAATCTTTGTAAATTTTTTTTTGAATAATTTCATTACCTGCCACAATTTGCTCTATTTTCAATTTGTTAAGGCTTTCCTCCTTTTGTAAAGCCTTAATTAGCCTCCAAATGTTGGGATGTGCAATGGAAACAATTGAACTGAAACTGTTATGCCATCCTTCAACTGCATTATTGGTTCTAGCAATTCCCTCTCTGGCTGCATTGTAACAATTCCAAGAAGATATAGGAAATTTTGGTAACCGTCTTCTTCCTCTTCTGTCTAATCTACCAATCCAGGTGTCTTCAAAATAGTTTATTAAATCTGCTAAGTCCTCGTTTTCTGCATAGAATTCACTTTCCAATAATAAATCAAAATCACTCTCTACATCGTCTTCAGGAACATAAGCAAGTGAAGCCAGAAGTCGCAAATTTGATGAAAACACTTCTTCATCCACATATCACGTGGATTTTTTGAATTATAATGTCTAGTTCGTAGTCAATGGCGTCAAAATATCACATATCCAAAGTTACAAACAAATCCGTTAAATTTATCATTTTTGAACCACCATATTGGATCCGCCATGTTGAATTTTGTTTTTTTGACATCATATTCGTAATCAGTGACCCAAAAAACCTATAGGGACACAGTTTTGTAGGTTTTGTATTTATTTTATGTCTATGTCCAGGTTTTGAAGCGAGTTAGCCCATTGTGGACGTGTCTATTATTTTGGTGTATTTTAAAAACCTTATTCCTATCGCAATTTTGTTAAAAGCTTGAATCAGAATTTTTTCTGGTTCATAAGATAGCCCTTAACGACAGTCTAACGAAAAACCTTATTACCTTAAGACCTTTTCACCAAAGATTTTGTTAAACTCTTAACCAAAAATGAATATCCATGCTCTTTTATCAAAGAGATGTAATTATTAGTTGAGAGAGGGCTCTTTCAACATCTTTAATCGAATCTACGTAATGGTCAAAAACAACGTCAATTTGTTGTGCTTTATATTTGTTTTGAAATACAAATTTTAAAAATATATCAGAATATTCCTTCAATCAAACGATTCAAAAACAAAAAATAAAAAAGGTCGACCAAAAATCGGTAGTTTTTGAAGAGGACTGCGAAGAATCAGAAGACGAGGAGAACATTTAATAGGATGATTACACAACATTGTAAGTTGTAGTTTTTCTAATAAAAATATATAAATATCCATGCTCTTTAATTAAAGCAATTAAATTAATAAAGTTAAGGGACGGCGCTTTCAGTGTTTGTTATTTTACCATTCTAAATTTACTTGTGGCACATTAATTTTTTTTTAATATTTATTAGGTATTATTACTTATAATAAATTTATTCGAGATATCTATTTTACAGGTCATATATTAACAGGGTGTCCCAAATTATATAAAACAGAGACAGGTTATAAATCTCATGATTTTAAGCAAACAGGTTCTTATTAGCAATGGTCGGATTTTGATCAGTAACAAAGTTCAAAATTGATAGAAATAATACATTTTCAGTCGCACGTCACTGGTGAAATTTGTTTTTTTTTTTTATTTATCTAACTTTTATATCTCTTGCCTTGTGTTTGAATTTTGATCAATGTTTTCGTGTTAAGTGTTAATATGAACTTTTTTAATAAACATTATGAAATCTATAAACTGTTTCAGTCGAATCTGTACAATTTGGGACATCTGTATTAAACATTATTAGAACTATAATAGTTTATCAACAAAAAATTAGGACTGGTTGTGGTGATAATATTATGAGCTGCGCTAGTGTCGTAGTCCAATAGAAATAGATATATGTTTACAATAAAAGGTGCAACTAAGATGGGATATATTAAGCCATATGGATGGAAACACCGTTTACCGACGGTAGATCTACACTATACAAATATGAGTTAAATAAAAAAAATCCTTATTCATGATTGGCAATTAATTATCGCTCACAGTCACTACTAAACTAACAAATGGTTGAGAATAATAATTATTATGATCTTTAACTACAACCAACATTTAAAAAAAATGTATGTAACTTATTAAGAGACCTCGCTTCGCCGCTCCTGCAAAATTTCATTCTTTACGCAAAATAAGAAGTTTCGCAACCGGTAACCATTAATACCTATATTTGAATTGCCTGCCTGCTACTGACGGAACTTAACAAAAACATATAAATTTAAGACCTAAATAAATACTATTATTTGTTAACTTACTAAATAAACTAATGCTCCAGTTTACAATAAGTGATGATTCTTTTGTTGGGTACTTAATACCGTGAAGGTTAAATAAGTTTTTCAAACTGGCAAACATAAAGTGCTCTATGGTTTCATCCTTAAAGTTTTTTGTTGTATTTTCAGCAAAAGAGTTTTCTTCACTGGGTTCATACCTAAAAAATATATATCTTAAAGAAAAAAACTTAAAATCAGACAGATAGTAGATGAGTTTATTTACAATTATTCATCGTCACAAGATCTGAAGAAATTTAATATATTCAAAATAAACGAGCTGTACAGATGTTTAGAAAGTTTGGAGATTTTGGATTTACAAAACGCTACTGCCATTATATTTTTTTTATCATATTTCGTTATTTTAATATCTTGATAATGACTTTAGCATAGCGAGATTAACTCGTTTTAATATTTTCACAATTTCAAATGTGCTACAGAGCAATGCCAAGAAGAATTTCAAATAATTCAATCACTGTTTGAAAATAAATAAATAATGCCCCAAACTGTAGCATTGTTTATTGATTGTATAAAAAAATTGAACGTGTCGTCGAAAATTTAAACATTGGAGAAGGAACGGTTTGTCCAAAATCTGCAGCTACTCTGGATAGTGTTGTTGAAACGAAAAGAACGGCTGTCATAATATATTTTATTTGAAATTATAGAAATCACTTTAGCCATTTATGCCCCAAGCGTTTATTATATTTTTCATAAATATTTTAAATTTCGAAAATGTACACTAAAGGTCCTCCACAGACTGGCAGATGACCAATATGATAAGCGAGAAATTTGGTTCAAAATAATCTAGAAGAATACCAAAATGAAACTTTTCTGGCTGTAAATAGCATTATAATAGGTGACGAAACCTGGCTATAGTACTATAGATGTTTCTTCTAAATCCAGAAAGAAAGTATGGTTATTTGAAACTGCGATATCAATAATTGTGAAGGAATCATATTTAGTTAAGAAGAAGATTATAGTAGGTTTCCTTTTGTAAACACAAATTGATCCAATAACAAAAACAGTAAGTACTTAGTAGTAACCTAAAAATTGTATAATATATCTTATGCAATATTTCCAAAACACACCAAAAGTCGCAAATGGATACTAGCATATAAAGCCGCTTGTAGCATTTCAACTTTCCTCTGATTGGACAAAATTCCAACGCTGCTGATTTCGTTATCTGTGATTTTAATTTATTTCCTAAAATCATAAACTGACTAAAATGATGACAATGATATCATAATTGCAGCTTTGAAGAGCGTATGTCTGGATTTCAGCAATGATCAATAATATTTTTGATTTGTGGTTTAAACTAATGCATGAATGTAGTAAACAAAATGGAGCTGATTTTAAAATATTATAATTAAAGATGGATATAGAAAAGTCGGTTAATGATCCGAATACGAAAGTGTGAGATTTTGGAACTATAAAAATTAACACCCCCAATTCCTATTAAAAAATTAAGAAATACCTACAACCTTAACTGAAAAACAACCATAGACAAACTGAAGAAGCTGCTGAAGAGGCTACCCGCTAGCTTAGTGTGCATCCACATATTCTCAATAGTTAAGCAGTGATCTCTCCGGTCACGTCGTGGATGCGTGACCACTGGGTGGTTCCAGCTTGGGCTGTGTCACCACGGGACTAGCGTTTAACCATCGACGACGTAGAATGAATAACGATGAATGAGGGAGTGAATTGGTGAATGAGAAAGTAGTAGCACCTTTAAATGGTGGTACAATAAGTCGCAGGTTGCGTATAGACGGATAAGGGTATATCATGGGAGATCCAAAAGGTGTAAAAACTAAAAAAAAAAACTGAAGAAGCTGAACTAAACAAAATGTGTCCCTCCAAAAGATCTAACCTGGATCCTCTAGTTTATACTTCGTCACCTTATATATAAAGCCATCACAGTGTTTTAACTCGTTCTGTTCCCTTTTGAGGGGTTCCGGCAAACTCTCCCCAATCCGGTTTAAGTCAAGCCACTGATTTCTCTCAATATGGCTTTGGGTCCAGCCTGCTTTCCGTCCTCTTGGATTTCACAAGGCAGCATTGAAGCGTAGATGCCTTACTTCTTCTCATTTATCATATATTTATTAATCGTCATTAATTCCAAGTTGTCGATGGCTAACCTCTAGTCGGTTAAGTCGGTGGACTGTCCAGCCGTCACACATCCACGACGTGACCGGAGAAATTACTGCTTAGCTGTTGCAAGCAGGTGGATGCATACTAATCTCGCGGAAAGCTTCACCGGCGCCATCAAAGTTAATAGCCACAATTACCAAATTGAAAATTTAAAGATATTAGATCCTGACTCTCGTCGGTATACACACCTACACAAGCTCTCTCAATTCATTTTTATGTAGCATCGGTATGAAAGATGCCACACATCATTGCATAAACTAGAATAAATTCTAAGATGTATCAAACGAATCAAACGATTCGCTAGGAGCTGCAACATCTATTCAAAATATCAATGAGAAATCCTAGCAGTGATGGCCTAACACATACTTTGATTACTATACGGTGCAAGAGAGAGGTCCGACACGCCCAACATGGGGCGCGGCCATTTTGATGCCTTTACCACAATTTATTCGCTCCGTGCGAAGTCATGGAAAGGGAAGCAAAAGCGATACTAGCGCTAGCTGCGGATAATTCGTGCATTTTAGGGGGATATTTTGTAATTTTGGCATATCAAATACACGTATACATTTGACTTTTTTTCAAAAAAGTAGGTAAAAACAACACAATAAGCAACCGGAGTTGCTGTGTTGAAAATTGTACAAATACTAGCAAAAAAAAACAGTGAAACTTATATAACAAATTTCACTAACAAAGTGGAAATTAAATCAAAGAAATAAATGGATAGGTGTACAATAAGAAGAAAAATTACCTTTATTTTTGTGATAATAACAGTAATGCTGGAAATAGTAGACATCAGAAACTAGAAAGTTTTTAAATAAACAATAAATTATCATTTTACGATGTTCTTTAATATCCCTTTATTCTTAAATGTTTATTCAGCAAGGACTAGAATTCAAGATTTCTGCCGTTGATTATAATATTTGGCTGGTATGCAATTTTGTGACTTACTGATCGGAAACCAGTTTTAATCATTCATTCTATGTTTTCTTTAGAACAAAAATGAAATATAAGTAGCGATCCTTTTTATACATTTTAACTTCACGCTATTATAAATCAGGGGGGGATATCGCGCATGGTGTCATGGCGGCTCTGACGTCATGCGTAGAGTTAGTAGAGTTGGCGCGAAATAAATATCATATGACAGACGCATGTTGCAGTAGCTTGGGAGTCGTTTATAGTAATTTATAAGGTATTAAACAGATATTTGTATTATATTATGTTGTAAACTTTGTTCTCTCTAAGTGCTTTTAGTGAAAAAATTAAAGCAAGGGATTCAAGAAAAATATTATGGTTTTTCGCTTTCTTCGACAGTAAGAGCTCAGTCAGAAGTGAGGAGTGGCCCAAGGGCGGCTACAGCGGAGGCTTAGAGGAGCATGCCGTTACCTAGATTAAAATTCTTAAAATCCATGAGCCTTTTATTAAAAAAAATATGCTAAATAGGCAATTCTACCCTCCTTCCCAAGAAAATTCGACATGGAACAGCCCTTGCAGTGGCTCGTAACCCTGCAAATAAATTTTCATATGTATTCCAAGCACTTTCAACCTTCCAATTATAAGAGGAACCTCCAATCAGAACTTCACATTGGTTCAATCGCAACTTGGGACTTCTAAACTGGAGACTCTACCCTTTTAAGGCTAAAAATTTCGCAATATAAGCAAAAGTGAAATTGTAAATGAGGCAAAAAAAAGAAAATTTCGACTTGTACTTGATGAGTGAATTAAAAAAATTGTCAGCGACTTTGTCCAGGAAAATTGCAATGACATTTTATTTTAATTTTGTATGTGCACCCACAATATGTTATGTAGCTGTTATTTGTATTTCGTACATTTTTTATGCTTTGCATTATATTATATGAATGTCTGCATTATATTATATGAAAACACATATTTTTTAAATTTATTTTTATTCAATTGGGTAATTTAATGCAGGTGAATGAGTAATCAGATAAAAATTTCCGGCATATCCAGATGCAAAATTGTTACCAGGATCCCCAGTTTCAAGTTGCGAAGATACCCTTTTCATTATCCTGGTTATAAAAACTAGTCTTTAGAAGTCAAATTTGTATAACCATAATGAATCATAAAAAAAGAAAAAGGAAAAAACTGTTCAAATAAATACTTCTCTTATGCATGTATTTGCATTTATGTTCCTTCATAGTTCTTTCCTTAACTATCCTATAATAATATCCATAGATATTTCATGTAATTTCTAAAATAGTATCCTTAATATTCATTAACTTTCTGTAAGTAGCATATATTTTCCTCACATTTCGTCAGTATTTTTAAATTCGCGCCTATACAAACTCTACGCGTGACGTTATGCGCGTGGCCGTCCTATTTTTGACACTTTTGATATCCTACCTTTTATTTTTTATACCATGATTATAAATGGTTTCTTCAATGACAACTTATTAGACTTAGGCAACTTCTCATACATTTTCCAGTAAATACTGTTGCCTGCCTATATTTTATTATTGATTTTTAATGATTATACATAATTTTCTTCAATTTAAGCGTGAAAAATATATAATAATAATAAATTAATGTTTTAATTGTTTTATAAATCCATATACTTTTATTAAAACTAACATATATACTTTTTATTTACGAATTCTATTAAAAATTGTATTTGTCAGTATAGGCAGAAATACTCCTTTAATACCAAAACAAATTGGCGCTGCTGTCGCGCACGGAGCGAATAGCTAAAAAATCAGTTCGCTCACTCTGCTTCGGCACTTTTGATCTCAATGTTCCAGTTTATACACTGCGCAACTCGGATAATACAATTTATGACAACCGCCTATAATAAATCAGCAGTCTTCTGCGCATCCTGAATTTGTATCCCTGGAGTAGATGTTATTTTGGAACTTTCAACTGGTCCGAGTGAGCTAACTGATTCTTTAGCAATAAACTGTGACTTCAGCAAGCAAAATATCAGGTGCATTTTAATCATCCGCTTCTGTTTCCGGAATTGTCGGTTTCGGTTTAGTCGTTTTAATCTGTCAGATTAAAACAAGAAAACCGACAATTCCGAAGCAGAAGCGGATGATTATAACGCACCTATTAAAAACTATTGCGCTAAGATGTAGGCAACACGTAATAAGGCATCAAAATGGCGAAGTTTTCTATATCCTTTTAAAAGGCACTCAGAAAGCTGCTCAGTGCGACCATTCTCCGTATAGTAAGAGAAAATCAAAGTATGTGTGGCCTAATTACGACATGAGTGTGTAACCCATCGAGATAGAATAAAGTAGTGACGACATAAACACTATTTTGCGTTATGACAGATGGACACACTTTGAAGTCAATAATTTTATATTTGTAGACTGACGGAATGTAAATGATCATTTTAATAAAGCTACTTAAAAAAATGGCATTGTTTCTCACCAAAACTTACTAGCTACACTATCTCGAGTTTGACATTGACGTAAAAGTGTAATGCAAAGGTGCGGACAATTTTGCATCATCTTAGCATCACTTCTTTATTCTATCTACATAGGGTAACCAAACTGGCATGGTTCGGGCTAACTTAGACCATAGAATGAATGGAAGAATGCATGAGCTAAATGAATGGAAAGAAGTAGTAGGAAAGGCAGACTAGAACACAAGTCTGATTAGGAAATTGGGGGAGTCATGGGCTGGAACCCAAGCCGAATTGGGAGTAGTCTGTCGCAACCTCTCAGTGGGAAATGGATAGATGGCTCAAAAAGTGAAAAAAATAATTATTAGCTCTAGTGGCCAAATGGGAAAGGTGATAAGAAATCAGGTTTGATCCCTAACCGGGGCATATTTTTTCAATTTTTGATTGGTTTGTTTTTATGTTGCGGTTGTGAGAATGGAGTCCTTGGTTTCGTAGAGCAAATTGAAGTGTTTATTTTCATAATTCCAAAATTTTAAATTAAATAATTTATATCAAAATCTCAGAACTTTTTATGTACTATATGTTATTTATGGAATTACCAGGAATAATCTTACCTAAAAAAAATTATGAAAGTACGTACCTTAACAGAAGCACAGATATAGCTACAATAGTGTATGCTAATAGTGTTCCAATTGACATCATATCTATCAACTGTTCTAAGTCAAAAAGAACTGCCATGATACCTTAAACAAAGAAAGTATTCAAATGTAATTTAACTGTATCATATCAAAGTTTCAATTATATCAAAAAGGCTCTCCAACAACCTACCAATCGCACCTTATATTTGATATTTGTTAATGGTCCTTTCCGTTATTCGACAATTTCGCATTACTCATGCGCGAAAAAAGCAAGGAAATATTGAATCTAGTAATTTTCCAGGCAACTTAATTGTTCTTATTCTTATTCTTATTCTAACTCTACAATTGTTAGGTTGGCCACGACGACTACCCTATGTCATTGTTAATTTAAACAACTGTCATCGAGTCTATACAGCAGGGGACCCAGTGATAGTTTTTTTTTGTACACATATGCACAAGGTTAAATTATAAATGTATCATTAATTGTTACCTTGTAGAAGATGGAAATACTTTGGCTATTATACGCCGATACTCGAACGGCGGATATAACTATTGAAATTTTATAGAACGTTTCTAGACACTTTGAAACACACTATACATAACAATTTTGGGTCCACTGACACTAAAAATTTTTTTTTACCTTAAAATCCTTAAAATTTCTTGTCGGGTCTTCATCATAAAACAAATATGAAATAAACCATTTTCACTGATTGCTTGGTGTAGAAACGGCTAAATATCCATAGAGCATTCAAAGAGCAATAAACCATACCAAATTTTTTTCATAAACGATCAAATTTTCATATTTTTCATTTTTAGTTTGTTAGAAAAACAAATAGACAAAAACAATAGACTTTTTCAATGACAATTGACGTCTCTAGTTTCTATAAATGCGATGTTGTCAAATCGAGTAAGAAACCATATACGTCAGGAAATAGTTCGATTAATGAAAGTTGGCTGTTTGAAAATGGCTCCAGGCCATACACCGAAGGGGAAAACATTTGTAGTAATCACAGACATCCGTCTTTTTATTTCATTTCATGATGATTGTGCGTTAATTATGGCATGTCTGTACTTTTTTAATATTTGTAATAAATGCTTTTTTTTTTCAATTTGAACTGTGTCCAGGCCGTTGGAGACTATGCCGGTCGGCGTAATTAGGTATGGGTTAAAATTTTCTGGTGGCGGCGAAGCCGCCACCCTACAAGAAGTCGTTGCTTCGTATATCAATATTGACGTCGAAGAGTACTCTGCCTATGAGGGCGAGGAAGAAGATCTTGATATGGGTATTTTTTAAATCGTTAGTTTTATATAATTTTTCTGATACTGAAGTCAATTGGTTGGCCTGGTATTACACAGGCCATAGGTAAAAATGACCATTGTTATGTAATAATTGATATGGCAACACATGTCACACTGCCAATATCAATTGTCATTTGGTTCATGAAAATTAGATCATTTTGACGAACTTTAACCTGGTCGTAAATTAAGAAAATCAACTGTTTACGAAAAAAATTGAAATGGTTTATTGCTTTATGGATGGTCTAGTATTATTATTTAGCAGTTTCTATAACAAGAAATTAACCAAAATGATGTAGTTCAAATTTTTTCAACATCGAAATTAGAGGACACATTTTAAGGTAAGAAAAAAATATTTTAAAGCGTTTGCAGGGCAAAAAAAGTATTTTGAAATGTGTTTCAGAGGGTCTAAAATGGTTTTAAATAAAATAGACCGTTCGACCGTTGGCGGATTATTCCATACTTTGCTGCAGACGCACCAGCTGTAGAGCGGCTCGATGACATCTTCAAAAAGCCAATATAGAAAACAAAAATGGGAAAAAGTTTGCTGTCATCTTGATTGAGGTGGAAAACTGTCAAGTTTTAAAACTAAAATTATTATAATAATATGTTTTATTTAAGCAAGGCTTATTTTTTTTCTGTAATAGAATAATATATGTTATTTGAAAATCGTTTGCTGTTTGCTGCAATAGATCTGGCGTTAAAATGCTGTATTAGAAGCAAGAAGGTACTGTGAATGGAATTTCAAGAAGGTGGCAGCAAATATTAATTTTTGTTGTAAATGATAAAAACCAGTTTCAAACTTGCTCTTCTATGACAGTATTTTCTACACAGCCGTTTTAAGACGTTTATCGATTGCTCCTGATTTTATTTTCTTTAAAGTAAGAATGTATCATATAATTATAATTTTGCCTTTCGCAAATAACACACCTAAAACTGAAACTGGGTCCACTACCAATACTATAAAACCCAAAAATAAAATAACATTTGCAAATGTGTAATTAGAACTCAGGGTAGGAAACATAACGACAAGAATTTTTTATCATTTTAGGTGGAAATAGAATTTGCGCATGAGTAATAGAAATTACCAAAAATGGGAAAGGTCAATTTGAACCTACTAATTATTTATTTAAAAAAAATATTTGTTTTACTTTTTAACTAATCGCTTACATTTGTGATTGAAGTTGTAGGTACGAGGGCCGGTTTTAAAGTTTTTAATCGACCACTAGATATTGGGTGATATAAATAAAAATTAAGTTGATACTCTGAGCATTTACTTAAGAGCATGAGCATAAAGTAAGAGTTTATACTTCAATCTATATGAATAAAATGTATCGCAACTTTAGCAACAGATTCTCTTATAAAAGTGAGCAGATACTCCTATTTACTGGCCATGCCTTGTAAAGCTTGACTGTATTTAAAATGTTTTGAGCAATCTTGCAAATTTGTGAATTGCACCATATTCGGGCCATGAGGCCTCTATGCTTATAAACGATTCATTTGAAATGCATGTGGCTTGTACATTAATGCTAGGATACCCTTTTCGATTTATGTATTAATCTCCATGACGACCACGAAGCTTCTTCATAATTGAATCGCTTATTGTTAAAAGAAACTAAGTCACATTTTTACATTTTTGACTTTAATATATGAAACGAAACTTTGAAGATATTCCTTTCGTTTGGTGTAAGAAGAAACCGTCTACCTATATTGCTTGTGTACTATTTTAGCGGAAGTTATTGGTATTTATTGCTAAAAGGAACTAAGTCACGGACTTAGTTCCTTTTCATTAAAGCATCTGAATTTATAAACAAAAATAACTTTATGGTGAACACGTTTGTTTTGAATACTCCGAAGAAGAACCCAAATAATATTATTAAAATGCCTACTACAAAAGCCTATCTCGAAGATCGAGTTCCGATTTTACCTTCAAAAATAAAGCACATGCAAAATTTAGTGACCTATGTGCCAGAAGAGTATTAAGATTTTTATTATAATATAATAAACACATGGTCAACTAAACCTGTACCTACATAAATAATAACTGTGATTTTGTGACACTTGTATTCACAAAAATAAACCACTTTTGTTATTAAAAAAAATCCCGTTCGTTATTAAAAGGACAATTTCTTCTTTAGCAATTAAAAAAATAGAGTCGTGTGAATTTCTTCTGTTTTTTATTCTGAGCATAAAGAAAGATATACCTAAGCATAATATTTGCATTTTAAACGAACTTTCCTTTTAAAATAGTGTTTGTTACTTATCTTAAAACTCTTTAAAGTGACTTAGATCCTTTTACCAATAGGCAATTCAATTATATAAGTACAATCAATGATACCTATTGTACAGAAAAAAAAATTATATCTTGTTTGCCACTTTTCTTTGCCCATGCGTACATCTTCAGTACTCTGAGAAAATTTTATTTGCGAACCTTCGTTGGTATTCGCTAAACCGTCTATGCCGCGCCAACGAAATCTCTTTGTTTGCATTCGTTGACACGGTCTTTACGCAGCTTAATACTGATTTAGGCATACAAAACAAAAGAACTTGTCGGTGGTACATTTAAAAGGTTTGTTAGATATGATGTATTCTATCTATAACAGGTAAAATCATGAATAAGGGTTTAAATTAAAATATTAAAGAAGGGTACTTATACATTTTTCATAAATTAAGAGGCTTGGTGACTACTATTTTAAGTAAAAATAGCTTCCAAGATGGAAGACTTTTTCGTAACCCCCTTATATATTAGAGCCCTGCTCACTAGCAGCTGCTGTTTAACAGATCGTAAGTAAATTCTTCTTTTATTATCATTTATGCAGTGTGTTATTCATTTCACGAAACTATGACATTAGTAATATTTTTTTAAATGGAACAAATGATATTTTATATTAAAAAAAGTTAGTCCATTTAAATTCAAATCCTAAATAACAATAATTATAATTTTTCTCGAAAAGTTTTTAAGAAAATTATACCAATTGACTTTATAGCTCCATTTAAGCCATTTAAGACATTTGTGCAGTGTTGTTTATATTTTACAAAACTATGACGTCATTACTATTCTTTTAAATGAAACAAATTATATTTTATATTAAAAATATAATACAAATCTAAATCCTAATTAATAATAATTCTAATTTTTCTCGAAGAGTGAAGAAAATTATACCAAAAGACTTTACAGCTCCTTGAAATAAAACAAGAAAATCTAAAATGGATGTAGTCACAAATACATACAGAGTGCAAAGTGATTTGTCAAGTTGCCATTATCTTAATTACAAGTACTCTTAATAGCTACAGATTTCAAACTGCAGTTTGGCTATAAATTATCAACTGGCTTCTTTTTCGATCTATCAACGAATGTGTGAACTAAAATCATCGGTAAAGAAGGTAGACAATGGTATTACCACGTATATTATTTTAAATTTCGGGTTGTATTATATTTCTCAATTTTTTTCGTTATAACATCGATTGGTTTTAAAGTAATTGCAATTGGCTTTTATTTGCTTGTCTCCGTAAACATTTTTTTTATAATTGTTTAAACTTTTATTTTGATTGTTTTTAAAGTTGCATTATTGATATTAGCGTTTGCAACTGCTCTGATTTATTTAAAAACTGTCTACCAAATCTTAGGTCTTCATCTTTTAAAGTTTTAAATTCATTTGAAAATAAAATTAAATGCAATTAAATTCCCACCTTAACTATCAATTTTCTGTTAGTATATTCTCTTCTCACCTATGTGAACATATTCTAAAAATATCTGGGTACTTACCTGACAAAAGTCCGGATAATATCGTAGCAAATATAGGCGTTTTCGTCTTTTTACTAACTATTGCCACTTGTTTAAAAATGATTCCATCTTTGGCCATAGCATAGAGGACACGTGGTAAAGGAAACATAGCGCCCAACATACTTGTGCATAAAGCAAAAACAGCGCCTATGGTAACTAACCATTTTATGGTTGTCCAACCAAATGCATCGAAGACGAACGGAAATGGAGCATCAGGATCCTAAATAAATTAAAAAACATTATTTTTTTTCCTATGAACAATAGTGGTAACTGGTTTTAAATTGTTCTTTCATGAATGTTTAATATAAGATATGTTTCTAATTAAACTAAAAATAGTAAATAACTAAATATATGTACTTGAAATATGAATGACATTTCAATATATAGGGGTGCTGATAAGTAAGGAAATAAAACGATATTATACACTTTTTTAATCATTGCAATTTATAGCAAGTATGAGAAAAATATTGTTGAATATTTAATATTAGTTATCAGTTATTTTGTTATATAGCAACGTTTATGAATAGCATTCAAATGTATTTAATAGAACCAGAAAAACTTTAAATAAATAACAAATAACGGTTTAAGTATATTTATATAAATTGATTTGTAGATAATCTTTTGTACTTTCTAAAATATACTTAGGTTAAATAATTAATATTGAAATAACGTAGTTTATAATTATTAACCAAACTCTAAAATTTTTTCCGACATAACAATGTTTTCAATACTCGTAAGAATTACAATTTTTGATTAAATGCTTTGACAACGTGAGCGCGATGCAGCACGCTAATGTGTGTGCAGTGTTGCCACAAGCTTATTGTCGATTCTCCGGCGAAAGTTACCAAATTCTTAGGAAACGGAAGATTCTCCGCTCAAGACAATGACGGGCTTTTTTTATAAAAAAAGTTGTTCGTTAAAGACTCTTGAATTAACGAAATAACCTAGAGAATCTGAATTTGTTTAAAAAATTAATATTATTTACCAAATTCTACGAATCTTCTGAAATTTTCCGGAAAACGATCATTGGCAACACTGTGTGTGTAACATCGAGATAGAATAAAGTAGAGACGACATAAACACTATTTTGCGATATGAAAAATGGACGAACATCAAGTGACGGGAACACATACTTTGATTTTCTTTACTATACGGCGCAAGAGAGAGGTCCGACACGCCCAACATAGGGCCCGGCCATTTTGAACCCTATGCAACAGTTTATAGCTAAAGAATCAGATCGCTCACTCTGCGTCGGCACTTTTGATCTCAATGTTCCAGTTTATACACTGCGCAACTCGGATAATAAAATATATAACAACCGCCTATAATAAAACAGCTGTCTTCTGCATATCCTAAATTTGTATACCTGGAGTGGATCTTATTTTGAAACTTTCAACTGGTCCGAGTGAGCTAACTTATTCTTTAGCAATAATCTGTGACTCAAAAAATTAGGCATTCCAAACAAATGAATTACCAGTGGGCAGGTTTGGTATATCTAAGGGTGGCGACATATGATGTATTCTATCTACTTTACGTAAAATCATGAATAATGGATTACATTTAAATATTTTATGTCGAACACAATAAAAATAATATTTAAAAAACCCACCTATACATTTCTTCATAAATTGGCAGGCTTGGCGAGTACTACTTCGAATAAAAATAGCGTCCAAGTTGCAAGACTATGTCGCTACCCCCTTAGATATACAAGCATTTCCCACTGGCACCTATTGTTTGACAGGTCGTTGGAATGCCTAATTAGGCATTCCAAACAAATGAATTACCAGTGGGCAGGTTTGGTATATCTAAGGGTGGCGACATATGGTGTATTCTATCTACTTTACGTAAAATCATGAATAATGGATTACATTTAAATATTTTATGTCAAACACAATAAAAATAATATTTAAAAAACCCACCTATACATTTCTTCATAAATTGGCAGGCTTGGCGACTACTAATTTGAATAAAAATAGCGTCCAAGTTGCAAGACTATGTCGCTACCCCCTTAGATATACAAGAATTTCCCACTGGCACCTATTGTTTGACAGGTCGTTGGAATGCCTAATAATATGCACTGACACTGACAGCCGCAAGCAAAATATCAGGTGCGTTTTAATCATCTGCTTCTGCTTCCGGAATTGTCGGTTTAGTCGTTTTAACTTGTCAAATTAAAACAAGAAAACCGACAATTCCGAAGCAGAAGCGGATGATTAAAACGCACCTATTAAAAATATTGCGCCAAGATGTAGGCAACACGTAATAAGGGTTCAAAATGGCGGAGTTTTCTATCTCCTTTTAAAAGGCACTCAGAAAGCTGCGCAGTGCGACCATTCTCCGTATAGTAAAAGAAAATCAAAGTATGTGGACGGGAAAGTGTAATAAAAATGGCCTTGAGTCGTACTTTGATTTATTTGAAGTCAATAATTTTATATAGTCTTCAAATATAAAATGGAATAAAAATGATTTTATATAAATTATATAAAGCTATTTAAAAAAAATGGCATTTATTTTCACCAAAACTGACTACTTACACTATTTTGAGTTTGACATTGACGCGTAAAAACGTAATGCAAAGGTGCGGACAATTTAGCATCGTCATAGCATCTCCTCTTTATTCTATCTCAATGGTGTGTAACATTAGGGCCAGTTTTTCAATCAAAGTTTAAACTAAGTTCAGTAAATGAACTGGTATTAATTGCAAGATAGTGTATTTCAAATAAAATTTACGTTTGAACTTAATTTAAACTATCCGAAAAATTGAACTGTCAAATTAGGGCGTCTAAACTAGGATCAATGTTTTGACATTGACGTAATATATTTCACAATTTTTGTACATTTTATGTTCGAAGTAATAAGTGAAGACGCTGATAAAATTACTGCCTATTTAATGAATTGAAAATTCGATAAAAAAATTTATAAAAACTTATACTTTTTATAAAGTCATGTTTCTGTTAAGTATACGATTTTTTGCATTGGAATCTTTCTTAATCCACCGGCTACTTCTCTAGAGTACATAAGAGTACAGCAAGCAAAATTTAGCAACAATTCTTCTTCGTTGCTCAAAAAATTGGTGGTCCGTCATTTTTTTAACACGCTTATATTAGCTTCACCTGTATGTATTTATGTATGTTTATAACTCTCCTTTGGACTCAAGTGAATTATTACTGTCAGTATATCCCACTAAGTCAAGTTCGTTCGTGGCCGAGCGGTCTAACGCGCGAATTTTTGATTTGGCAGACTCGCCGATCGTGGGTTCTAATCCCCACGGCTGAAAAAAAATATTTTTTTTTCAGCAATTTTTTTTTTATTTTAATAATTAATCGAACTAAAAAGTAAAAAATAAATATAGTTTAAAAAAAAAAAACAAAAAAACACGCTTTTATAATACATCGAACTAAAAAGTGAAAAATAAATATGGTTTAAAAAAAAACTAAAAAAACACGCTTTTAGAGCATATCAAATTTTTCAAATAAGCTTAAAACAATAATAAATGGAAAATACTAGTATTATTGTGAAAAAGACGTGGGGCGCTTTGTCCATATTTCTCGTACATCGAGCGCCCGACGTTTTTTTCACAATAATACTAGTATTTTCCATTTATTACTGTTTTAAGCTTATTTGAAAAATTATTTTTTACTTTTTAGTTTGATATGCTCTAAAAGCGTGTTTTTTAGTTTTTTTAAACTATATTTATTTTTCACTTTTTAGTTCGATGTATTATAAAAGCGTGTTTTTTAGTTTTTTTAAACTATATTTATTTTTCCATTTTGTACAATTTTTCATCATCACTTTTATTAAATATGTTTGTAAAAACGTCATACCGACATAGACCATTCAGTTTTGTCAGAAGTCCCTCGATTCAGAACTACCAATATAAATTGAAAAACGCCATTGATGTTAATCTCAGTTCTATACTTGATCCAAGTTCAGGTAAACGAAAGTTTAAACTATTATTGAAAAACTGTTAACAGCATCCGCGCCAGCTTCTAACAACTAACGACACAACACAATTTTCACCCTTTTCAAAATCGTTCTTTATTCTGTCCTACCCTGTATGTAAAACCGTTTGGGTAATGTCACTTTGGTTCCATAGTTATCAGTAATTATCATTAAATATCGCCATGACTTCTATTTTAGTCAATTCTACATAGGCTATACTACTAAAGACCATTTACACATTCTGTAAATAAAAAATACAAACCTGTAAATAATAAGGCCATGCCATCGTCAACACAGTAGAAATAGCAAAATAGGCACCGAAAATTATACTCAAAGAGATTACTATAGCTAAAGGGATGTCCCTCTGTGGATTTTTTGCTTCTTCTCCTGTGGTAGCAACTGCATCAAATCCCACGAAACCGTAAAAACATTTTGCCGCTCCAGCCATTATACCGGAAACACCAAATGGGAGAAAACCTCCGTCACCAGCTAGTTTTTGATCACTTGCTGAAAGAAGGTTTGGGTCGATTTTCCAGTTATCAATGGTAGCTTAAAATAATAATGAATCAGTTAAAATGAGTAAGCTTGTATGTCGAATATACTATCGGATATATGTATGTAAAGCAAATGAAAGCTTCAATAAATTCAGCTTTTTTTTTTTTTTTTTTTAAATATCGATAATATTATTAATTTAAAAAGAATCAAATTCTCTATCATGCGGACTATGCACTGTACACGGAAAGATCCAAAACTGAAAAAATGAGTAGGAACGAGGGTTTTTGGCCAGACATATCATTAAACCTCAACAATTAGACCACGACCTTCCAAGCAGAAATGATATCGCTATAGAATTGGAAGCTATAAAGATATTTTCCGATAGCCACGCAGCCATTAATTCCATGAATTCCAAACGAGTTTATTCAAAGCCTCGGTTCCCGGAACAAAGTTACTTGATCTCGGTTCCAGGACACAGCAGTGAAAAACCAGACGCGCTCGCTAAAAGTGAAGCCGCATTATATTTCATAGGACCAGAAGCATGCCTGGTCTTGCAGAAGACTGCCAAAGAAATTATTTAAAAATGGACAGAGGATGAATTGGAAAGATATCGGAGAGCCAACTCATTCAACGGCATTTATACTTAGCTCTTCCAAGAATGCCTCTGATGACAGGAGACATTGTCGTCTAGGTAACCATAATGAGGGATCTAGGACCTTAGATATTACTTACTCTGAGTCTAGGACTGTTTTTCGAATGACAATTTTTTGAACGAGTTTTTTGAAGGACAGTTTTTCGAATGGACAGTTATTCGAACGGATGGTTCTTCGAACGGCCAGTTTTTCGAAGAGCCCATTGTTCGAACAGACCATTTTTCGAAAATGCATTATTGAGGAATGATAAAGTGTAGGTAATTTAGTCAAAAAACATTCGGTGTGGCACCTGAAATTCAATTTAGATAATTTATTTTTTTTATTTAATTTTTTGATAACCTGACACAGGTGCGACACTAAAACGTCAAAAATAAAAAGCGTTTTGTATAAAAATAATCATTTTATTCCAATTAATTCTTTTTAATACATGACTTATTTATAATACACTATATAACAAAAGAAACGAGGAACTTATTTATAAGACAAATTACAAGCTATACGATTTAAGTATTCTATAGGGTCTTTAGGAGAAAACTGAGTGATAATATTTTGTAATCTAATATTTAATTGTAAGTACTTCGTTTTCTTCGGCACAGCGGGAGTTCCACAGTAAAATTGAGAAATTCTCATTTCAGTTAAGGATTGTTCGCGTTGAATCGCGGTAATAAACTTCCATATTGTGGGATGGCTAGCTGAAAGTTGGCTTTCGAAGGCAAGATGCCAACCTATAATGTGGTTGTTAGTCTTGGGTTGACTGTTTAAAACATTATTAACACAGTTCCACATTTCCCAATCAAACAACGGTGACCTTCGACGACCGCGACGAATCATCCCAATCCATGTTTCCTCAAAGTAGTCCAGAACCTCGGTAGCTTCTTCTGGAAAATCATCGCTTAATGCATTAAAAAATGGCTGTATGTATTTTGTAGGTACGAAAGCTAATGCAGCTAAAATCTTCATGTGCTGTGCGAAGTTTTTGTCGGTGTCATATCGCTGTTTAAAGCCAGCTGTTTGAATTTTTCTGTAAATTGCCTGTGAAAAGTGGAAGAAACATCCTTGTATAGTTGCATTCGGAAATTCTTGATGTATCGCTCCTATCATCGCTGCTTCAAAATCTATTAGAACCGATTGCGGTCTGAGAGCTGGTGCTAGATCTTTAAGGGCCGAAATTAACTTTATGTAAGTGTCTTTTGATTTATCAGGTAGAAGTGCATATACCAGTGGTACGGATTCCTCGTTTATAAATGTATGTATGGTGTAGAGCTGGTAAAAAAGCATAGGTGCAGTCTTAAAAGTTCCATCCATGTATATGTATTCAGCTTTTTGTAGATAATCCAGGTTGTCTTTCGTGCTAAAAATCTGAATTCTTTGTTTAATGTTTCCAGAATCGAAAAGTAGAAAAGGTTCGCCTTTTGTGGTGGTTTTAAAAGAATCAGGTAGATACAACTCCTCTAGACTTTTCGGCTGTGTGGGTTCCATGTTTTCTTTCACTTTTTCCCTGTGTATTGTTCGCTTTAAACTATTTACTTTATTTAGTTTGGCTGATGTTAGTTTGTTCACTTCACTTGATAGTGCCGATACTAGGTAGTGTGGAGTGTTTCTTGTTGTCCGAGCATTGTCCTTCAGTTTATTCTTAAAACGTATGGCATCTACTTCTGCTGCATCCGCGGGGTGGTTGTGAGAAGTCTCTTTGCAAACATCATCATGGCTTGTAATTGCTCGCGATTTACATTTCTTAGACAAAAAGAACTCGCACTTCCAATATGTTTTTTCATCAACGGCTTTGTCTTTAACGAATAAAAATCCGTTCAAAAATAACTTTTTTTTCCTTTTTCACTAAAAAGGAATTCGAGAGGCATCTTTATAAACACTAAAATCAGACTGAATACAATGTCAAAATGTCAAAATTAAATTATATAAAATAAAACCAACTTATTTCGAAAAATTGTCTATTCGAAGAATTGTCTTTTCGAATAACTGTCCATTCGAATAAATGTCGTTCGAAGAACTGTCGTTCGAATAATTATCATTCGAAAAACTGTCCGGATCCCTCATATGAGATGGATAGGTCTGCAACAAACGTCGGAGTGTCGATTCTTAGTGTGAAAGAAGACGTAACGCTGAGCACATTATATGTACCTGCTCCGCGTTGGAAAGAACTAAGTTGCAGATTTTCGGATTCATCCGACTGAAGCGCACAAAATTTAATCAAGTCTTAGTCAATTCAACCATGGCCTCCAGACAGTGTAGATTTTACGGTGAACTATAAGTTAAACATAAACCACAATGCATCCATCTGGGTCGCAGTTAACAGTATTCGCTAATATTGTTAGTTAACATTTTTGGGATGTATTACTTAAAAATTATTTATTAAAAATAAATATTATTATATTTTAGCTAATTTAAATTAGGCGAGCAACAAAGCTGTCACTAAATATCAGTTCGCGGAAAACGTCAAAGCCTACTTTTGATAGTGATCGTAGCAAAAAAATATTATTTTGATGTGTTTAGGCCCTTACTAGTATTTTCTTGTGTGGTTGTTTAGTTTTTCTGTTACAGTAATAGATTTTCTAGTATATTGGCAAGCAACAGTTGAAATAATCAAATTTATGAAGTATTCTAAATCTCCACATCGAGGCATCCTTTGACCCAGCATGAATTACTTATAAATCATAACTACCATAGGCAAAAATAACTTAAGAAACTATGCCGTCATTTCGTGTTGTTAAAAGTGAATATACATGTAAGCTAAACCTACCATCAGAGGAGGTGATTTTCGGCAAAACACTTTTGTACGGCATTTCTTAAGTAAGTAGGCAATGAAAAAATAATGACATACGACCTAATGCCGTACAAAAATAGCCATGAAATTGTTAGATAATTTCGAAAATTGAATTGATTTATGGCGATTTAATACAGTACGGCGTTTATACACCTTAGTGTATAAACGCCGGATCGTTACAGAGATTACTTTTTTAGCAACGCCGTACGTATTTGCTACTACAGGGGTAAAAAATGCAGGGCGCAACTCTATTTGTAAGAAGTATATTGATGATGATTTAAACCAACATTAGATTCACTGATTCTAATTCTATTTTATAAAATAATGACATTTTTAGCCATGTCGTACATTTTTCATGAAACATGTGTTTACCAGATAAAAATTAATTTCCCTCTGAAAAGTAGAATTTCACGGCGAAAAATGTTTGTACAGCATCAATATATTTTGTTAATACTGACAACAATAATCAATAAAAATAAAATGCCGTAAAAAGAAAATGGTTTTAATTGGTAAAAAATATTTTTTCTACACCCACATGGATATTAGCTTATCTACGTACAGATTACATAACGAAAAAGTATGCTATTGCCTTTAACTGAACAAATATATTTCATATCCATTCTAGTTACTGAGAACACTGCAATTATTTATTTTAAAAATTATTAAAAGTCATAAATTATTTTAAAATTAGTTATTTTGTCTTAATAACCTAAGATATTTTTTTATTTGTAAATTTTTGTTAGTGGGTCGTAGAAAAATATACTGTACAATTCAACTGGATTGTCCACATCGCACTCAGACGATTCAGTTCTCCGCCCACGGCGTCGTGCTCAAATTTCGTCATCGTGCGACATGGTCATCATATCCACTCTTGTTGTACTACTATATTACTTGTAAGACGGGTATATGTAAGATTATTTCCCTCTCTTGTCAATGTTGACATTTTAACTAATCACATCGCAATTTACGTTATCGGTAGAACCAATCAGAACAAAATAAATCGACTATTTTCACTGACTATTTCAAATCGACTATCCATGTCTGGTGCTTAATATTCACTTATGTTGACAAAAACTCGCATACTTGATTATAGGTATAATATTTAATAACGTCTGTCAAATATATTTATTGTCAAAGTACAAGCTAATATCTTGTGGAACGTTTTAAAATGAACCGAAAATAAAAGTTATTTTATTAATTTAAGTTACATTTAGGGCTCTAGAAATAATCTCATAAAATATAGCTCGAACTTAATAAATTACCGCCTATTTCTATTGTTACTAAATTTTTCGTGTATTTTGAAATTTGTCTCGGCATAATTTTGGCATTAATAATCAAAGATTATGACAGTTGTATTCAACTCTCAAACAAAGAAAACAAACACGATGGGTCAAAACGTTGTTGAAGAAAAATCAGATATTCATATTTTGCTACTTGAACATTTCACAAACTCTCGTGTTTTTCGAATGCTTTTATTAATGCTACACGCTTTTCCACGTACCACTTCATTTTCAATTAGCCCACAAAAAAGTATGAGTAGGGACCTAAAAGCAGCAAAATAACATTTTTTTTATCTTACTGCTAAATCGGCGAACATTATTTTTTGTTCCAAACACTGTTAGTTGGCCTGCTAATATTTGAAGAAATGTTAGCTAACAGTGTTAGCGTACAATAATAACTTCGCACGGATCTGAATTAAATCCGGTTTGACACTTAAAAAGAATAATTGTACACTCCTATATGCGTGATTTTTTCCAAGGCCTACATTCGAAATATTATTGTAGGTGCGAGGACAGGTAGAATGGCTGACTCCGACTAGTGGCGCAGAATAAAATAGGACAAGATAATGATGAGATTATACGTCTTCATTAGAGTGAGCAAATATTTCCGATAATTCATATAAATAATATTTGATTTCTTTTTCATACAGTACTTACCTTTAAGAGAACCAGCTACTATGGCTATAACAATTGTAACCAAATTCACAACAGTAAATAGATTATTAATAGTTGAAGATTCCTTTACTCCAAAAGCTAGTAGGCCTAAAACAAACAAAAACAAAAAAAAATTAATTTAATTTATAAACAAATAAAATACCGATACATCGATTCTTAAATGTGTCGTATTTTTCCTGGCTTATATGTTTTATGTAGGTACTATACACAGGGTGATTCACTTCTTTTTTAATCATATTTACATAAATATATAAAAAAAAACATTTTCAAACATCTTTAAAAAAGAACCAGTTGCAAAATTAAAAAATCCAAATCCGGACCTGTGTTTTAGTTGGCAAGTGCGGGCGACAGTGTTGCCAGAATATATTTTTGTAATGTACCAGATTAGTCTAAAAAATGTACCAGATTACATAAAAATGTACTAGATTCTATAAAAATTACAATATTTTCTGATTGTGAAGGGTGGTCATTAAAGAGCAAAAAAAGGTTTATAGAGAACACGAACACAACAATTTTAAACAATATTTTATCTCTCGACAAATTTCTGACACTATTTTATCTCTCGAACAGTTTATAAACCTTTTTTATCTCTTAAGCTATTTTTAAACAACATTTTTTATCCCTCGAGCAATGTTTTTACAATATTTTTTGTACAATTTTTACTATTTAATCATTCGAGTAATTTTGAACAGCATTTTTACCTCTCAAGCTATTTTTAAACAATATTTGATCTCTCGTGCAATTTTTGAGCAAAATTTTAACAATTTCTTACACTATTTTATCTCTCGAGCAATTTTTAAACCTTTTTTTTTATCTCTTGAGCTATTTTTAACGATATTTTATCTTTAGATAAATTTCTAACATTATTCTATCTCTCGAGGAATGTTTAACAACTTTTTTTTTATCTTTTTAGCAAACTGCACAAAATTTTAACTCTCGATAAATTTTTAACAATGTTTTATGACTCTAGCAATTTTTAACAACTTCTTTTATCTCTCGAGTAATGTTTGTACAATATTTTATTTCTCGAGCAATTTCTAGTAGTATTTTATCGTTCGAGGAATTTTTAAACAATGTTTTATCTCTAGAGAAATTTTTAACAGTATCTCTCGAGTCAATTTTAAACAATAATTTATTTCTCAACAAATTTTTCAACAGTATTTTATTCCTCGAGCAATTTTTAAACAAGGTTTTAACATTTTGTAATACTACTTTACCTCGAACAATTTTTGAACACGATTTTATTTATAATACTATTTAATCTCTCAAACAATTTTTAAAATTTTTTTATCTCTCATTAAATTTTTAACAGTATTTTTATCCCTAAAGCAATTTATGAACATTATTTTACCCCTCAAGCAATTTCTAATACTATTTTATCCTTCGATCAATTTTTAACATCCTTTTTTACCTCTCAAGCTATTTTTAAACAATATTTGATCTCTCGTGCAATTTTTGAGCAAAATTTTAACAATTTCTTACACTATTTTATCTCTCGAGCAATTTTTAAACCTTTTTTTTTTATCTCTTGAGCTATTTTTAACGATATTTTATCTTTAGATAAATTTCTAACATTATTCTATCTCTCGAGGAATGTTTAACAACTTTTTTTTTATCTTTTTAGCAAACTGCACAAAATTTTAACTCTCGATAAATTTTTAACAATGTTTTATGACTCTAGCAATTTTTAACAACTTCTTTTATCTCTCGAGTAATGTTTGTACAATATTTTATTTCTCGAGCAATTTCTAGTAGTATTTTATCGTTCGAGGAATTTTTAAACAATGTTTTATCTCTAGAGAAATTTTTAACAGTATCTCTCGAGTCAATTTTAAACAGTATTTTATTTTTCAACAAATTTTTCAACAGTATTTTATTCCTCGAGCAATTTTTAAACAAGGTTTTAACATTTTGTAATACTACTTTACCTTGAACAATTTTTGAACACGATTTTATTTATAATACTATTTAATCTCTCAAACAATTTTTAAAATTTGTTTATCTCTCATTAAATTTTTAACAGTATTTTTATCCCTAAAGCAATTTATGAACATTATTTTACCCCTCAAGCAATTTCTAATACTATTTTATCCTTCGATCAATTTTTAACATCCTTTTTTACCTCTCAAGCTATTTTTAAACAATATTTGATCTCTCGTGCAATTTTTGAGCAAAATTTTAACAATTTCTTACACTATTTTATCTCTCGAGCAATTTTTAAACCTTTTTTTTATCTCTTGAGCTATTTTTAACGATATTTTATCTTTAGATAAATTTCTAACATTATTCTATCTCTCGAGGAATGTTTAACAACTTTTTTTTATCTTTTTAGCAAACTGCACAATATTTTAACTCTCGATAAATTTTTAACAATGTTTTATGACTCTAGCAATTTTTAACAACTTCTTTTATCTCTCGAGTAATGTTTGTACAATATTTTATTTCTCGAGCAATTTCTAGTAGTATTTTATCGTTCGAGGAATTTTTAAACAATGTTTTATCTCTAGAGAAATTTTTAACAGTATCTCTCGAGTCAATTTTAAACAATATTTTATTTCTCAACAAATTTTTCAACAGTATTTTATTCCTCGAGCAATTTTTAAACAAGGTTTTAACATTTTGTAATACTACTTTACCTCGAACAATTTTTGAACACGATTTTATTTATAATACTATTTAATCTCTCAAACAATTTTTAAATTTTTTTATCTCTCATTAAATTTTTTACAGTATTTTTATCCCTAAAGCAATTTATGAACAATATTTTACCCCTCAAGCAATTTCTAATACTATTTTATCCTTCGATCAATTTCTAACATCCTTTTTTACCTTTCATGCTATTTTTGAACAATATTTGATCTCTCGTGCAATTTGTGAACAATGTTTTTATCTCGAGAAATGTCTACTATTTTATCTCTGAAGCAATTTTTAACAAACTATTTTAATTTCTCTGGCAATTTTTAAACAATATATCTTACACTTCAAATGGAACATACGCTGAAAAAAGTACTAGATTTTTCTTAGAGTGTACTAGAGTACCAGCTTCTCAAAGAATGTACTAGATCTAGTACAATTGTACTAGACTGGCAACACTGGCGGGCGACGACTATATATCTACAGAATAGCTGAGTTCCGCGTAGGAAAGCGCAATTTTTTTAAAACTTCGATGTTGACATTAAATCATATATCGAATACAGACTATCAATATTGTAAAAAAATCGGACAAAAAATATCGATTTTTCTAAACATCAAATTTGTTTCTCCACACATCGATGTGTCTGTTAACATCGATGTTTTCCAAAAACGTTCATTGAAGAGCAAAAAAATAAGCTTAACAAAAAAGAATTTAAACCATCAATTGACACGTAACGCTCAACCAAAAACATCGAAAAGGAAATCATCGATGTTAATTGAAACATCGATGTGAACAAATAACTAGCCAAGAAAGCAGCCAACCAAATACTTTTTGGACCTGGCTTTTCTATTGGCCTGACAAGATCGGTAGTGACAGACCTAAACAAAGACCATTCTCGTGTGAAATACAAGGAAAGATGGGATGAAACAAGAAACTGCAGAGTTGCCAGGAAGCTCTTAAGTTATCCTGACAACACTGCAGAAAACAAATACTTGACTATAACTAGACAGAATCTGCGCCTAGTCACAGGCATTCTGACTGATCATTGCCAAGTGCGGAAGCATCTCCATATCATGGGGCTTTCAGAATCCGCACTCTGCAGCGGGCGCGAACAAGAAGACGAAACCATCGAGCATATCCTTTACGATTGCTCGACGCTCTCATTTATTAAAAGATTTGTGTTCGGCCAGTATCGGCTAAGACCGGCCGATATAAGAGAAGCACCTCTTGGCGATGTTGTCAACTACATTAAATCTGTAGGCTGGGAGGATGCACAATGGGCCCAAAGAGGCCTAAGTGGCGTGGGGGTAACCCACACCCCATACGTTACAGATACAGATGGGTCTTGCGACCTTTATAACTGAGTTTTTTTAATGTGCACAATTTTCTTCCGTGCTCCATAACTTTTGAATCACTCAGTATATTTTTTTGATATTTGGTCTAGATAATCTACGAAAATTTATCGACACATTAAAAATTTCAAAATCCAGGTCTGACTTAACAAAAATTATTAAAATTTGACCTATCCTAAAACAACACCCTATACATCAAATTTTTTAATAGTTGAATTTCAAATTTGGAAAGAGCATAAAAAACTGAATACATTCATCATTTTTTTATTTTTCCGCATGCTGTTTAACTACCAAAATTTTGACGTTTAAATGTACATTATGAGAATTTTAGTCAATGCAAAATGTAGTTAAATGGGTTTTAATTATTTTTTCTTCATTAAAATTAATTTTACTTTTTCATGGAAATCCCTGAAATAAACTTATTAAATTTAAAGTAACATTCACAAAAACCCATAAAAATTACAATTACAGATTCGTATACAAAAAAATTTAAATGATTCATATTCATTTAATAATTAATCATTAATTATTTATTTTTTACATTTTTACATGAAAAATTTTGAAAAGATTGAGGATTTCTACATTAGGCATCTCAATGCTATTCGCGATTCAAGCTAAGTGATACGCCCTCTGGTGGAAATTTGTAGAAAGTCCGTATAAGTAGGATATCGTTCACTGTTGCCAGAAGTAGCAAAACTTCGCTACGTCGTCGGATTTTAGCTCTTGAAGAAGTGGATAAGACCTTTTATTTAAGAATCAAAATTTGTGTATGGTAATATGTTATCATACTCTATATTTATTTAAGGATTTTTTTATAAAATCGATTTTTTTTATATATCAGTTCATTTATTAATTTTGTTTTAAAATCAGTTCATCATTTGGCAAAATTGGCGTTCGTGTTCATTGTTTACATTTTAATTTGTATCAATTACAATTTGAGTTTTTTCTTACTTTTTAGCTTTAAATTTGTTTATTTCTTATAGCGTGTGATAGTGTTTATATTAAAAATGAAAGCTGCGAAAAAGTCCCCAGAAAATTGCAATCTACAGTATGGTTCAAATGAAAGGAATAAATTCATTATAATGGAAGTAGTTGGTTTTTCGAAAAAATGCTCGGACAGGTCAATTTTGTTTACTTTATGCGCAATTTTTTAAATAAA